TGAAGTATGTGGATTATCCAAAGTAACCAGGACATTGTGCTTTTCAGATTTATTCGTAAGTATTGTTCTCAGAAGCAGGCAAGTGGCAAGAAACCTCTGTACACTACCTGCCAAAAGAGACCAAAATGGAGCAAAAGTGTAAGAGAATATTGGACTTAAATTCATAAGGTGGCTAAAAACACAACTCCAGATGAATGGTAATGATTTTTTGTTTGCTGGATGTTTAGATACAGTAAGCAACTCTATGCCGACATGTTCACTAAAGGTGATATATACATTTTGTGTTTTGTTTTCACGTTTCCTAGTTGCCAAAATGATTTACAAAATGGGTATAATGCTGGTTTAAGAACAGGATCTGCATATTTCTTTCACAGCAGTGTGTCGTATAAAGAAAAACAGCTAGTAATTGTTTGTAATATGAGGCTGGTAAACCCAAACCAGGTTTGGGAAGGCACTTTACGGCTTCAAAATGCAGTGATATAAAAAAGTTACTGTTAATGCTAAACATTAACCATGTGCATCACTTATTTGTTTGTCTTTTTTCAGTGCCAGCAGTTGCTTTACTGATGCTATCTACTACTTAGCCTAACCCTAGCCAAAAAGGTGTTGTAGCAGAACATTTAGTACTTGGGGAGGGAGGGCCCAGGTCCAGCATGTGCTCAGGGCAAAAGTAGATTTCAGCACCGAGACTATTTAGTAAGTTACTTAACAATTTGGGACGATCTCTTTCCTGTTTAAACACATCAGTGCCCCTGTGCAACATAAAGACATGTTTTCTTTCCCATTCTAGTGCGGAAGAACTGTATTGGTCTGCACAGAGCCCTGACCTCAACCCCATCCAACACCTCTGGGATGAACTGAGATGCAGATACAGGCCCTATCACCCTACATCAGTTAGGCACCTCAGCCTCTCTAGAACAGGGGAGGATGCTATCACATCAAATGGTTTTGGAATTAAATGTTGTATACTCTTTGCTATGTGTATATTTGATTTGCTCACCCTTGGCTCTCTCCTTATCTGAGCAAATGCTGATCTCAGCAAATGAATAATGCTGGTAAATCAGCTGCTCTTGACATGAATAACCCCAAATGAGAACATAAGAATCCATCCAGGAACTTGAGAATGTTTACAGCTAATGATATAGCAGATTATATATCTATGTCATTTTAACCTTTACTGTTTTTTTAAAAGCAGCTACAAGGAACTTTCATTTTGTGTTGATTTTGGCATCTCCTGTGGACAAAAGCAATAGTGTTTCTACCACCTTGTTTGATTTTTATGATTTCAAGGGGAATCTGACCGAATATGACCCGGTGGCAGGCATCAAGAATAATTATATGGAAATAGCCAATCTTCTTGCTGATCATGATCAAAGGCATCACGTAATATGTTTAGTATACAAAAAGTAGTATGAAGGTGTTGGAAGTTTCAACTCCATTTACTTCTGATATTGCTCCTGCTGGTACAGACAGAAGTCCCCATGTTCTCATGAAAACATAATGTATGATATTCATAGTACAGCATTTGTATCACAACTCTCTGTCAGTTACTGTATTTATTTTCAACACAAGATGGAGGCAGATACAGGGGGTTGTGATGAATCCACGAGTGCTGCAAATCAGTTATGATGCAAACATTATGTATAGTTCTGTGTATTAAAGTGCTTTAATCTGTTTACTGAATCAACAATTTAAAGCCAGAGCTCATTTTTCATGGCCGGAGGCTCAGCGCTCTGATGATACCAGTAACAGAATCAACTTACCACTTTATATCGTCAGTCTGCGGACAAACAACAACATACAATAATCAGATTGTGTCGCTTTATGTTTGGTATCACTGTGATGCAGTTGGACAACTTCAGGAGATATGAGTAAACACAAACGGTAGTCAAAGCTCATATCAAAACACAACAACATATTTGTCAAAACAGTTAAGGGTTTCTAGTTCAAACTTCTACATTCTTCTTATTTGGACATTCATAAAAACGTCAACGTACAATATAGATTTATTATTAGAGACACAAATGTAAAAGGCTTTTGTAGTTCTACTGTAAGCAAACGAGTGGGGAACGTATTTCATCATGTACTGTACAATGAAACCTTCTCCATCTTAATTGTTGGAATATGCACATTAATACGGCCATAAGACAGATATAAGAGACAGACAAAAATGCTCTTGTTGTACAAAAGTCACACTACAGGCTTTAAGTGCCCTCAGAATACCTTTTTATACCACTGGTGTCTTGCAGAAGCCTTACGTGTATATTTTTCAAGACCCAGGGAACAGGCCACATCATTGCAAAATATCAAAAATACATGTGTCTCTCGATGGGGGAATTTCACTTTAAGGAGTACGCCAGGTTTCTGCAAGACACTGCACACAGCGAGTTAGTTCTGAATTCTACAAATGAAAATGTACAGTGGCACAAGAATAATGCATATTACTATGAGATATGTCCATCTCTTGTTTTTTTTTCAACCAGTTGCAGCAACAATGACCACTTGAACACTTATTTATTCCTAGACATGCACAAACTGGACAATAGACCTTTTTTACAGGAGCCATTATGGCATAAAACAGGATACCGTTGCTGCTGCTATTGTACATGTTGGCTCACTGGAAAGGCTCTGCTGCACTACATGGAACAGAACCTTAATTACTGTCATTGGTGTGTTTACCCTGCAACTTCTTGCTGTGAAAAAGGTCTATTAGATTAATAATTGCACAAGTTTAGAAAAAAACTGAATACACTTGCACAACACATTAACAGCATAAACACCCCTCTAAGCCACCATCATCACACTCACATGAACAAAACGTCTTCCAAAAGTCACATTTTCACAAAGAACACAGATGCGTGAGTTCTCTATGATCAACGTGTTATTTGAACTTTTGGGGCGCCTGAATTCATCTTGCTTACAGTCAGCTATGGTAGTAAGGGCAGTTGCATCAGGTCATGCGTCTGTACTGTGTGAGATAGTATAGGAATGTACAGTAGTCATGCATAATAAAGATACCCTGCTATATAAACAATGAACACTAGGTGGCAGATTTTGCCCACTTTGTACACAGCTCCAGTCTGCCTGGGAATAAAATGTCAAGTCATGGCAGGGGAGAGGGAGGGACATGCATAGGGCAAACATTACACTGGGTTATATTGCTTTTCGGAGAATGTGCATTTAACCTATATTTAGATTTCTTTGCCAAAAATATTCATAGAAAGCCTGGTTAGACCGACTCTAACTAAAGACTGCACTCTCTCTGTTGCTTTCTCCAAACCAGCCTCTAATCTCTTCTCCTTTTCCTCATCCCTTCTGGCATGAAACAAACAAATCTCTGGATCCTCTCCTCCTCCCTCTGTCCTTGTCCATCTTGTCTCTATGCTGCACTCTCTCATGGCTTTGATTTTCTTTCCTTCCAACCCCCCAGAAGCCATACTGTCTCTTACACCTTCATCTCTCTCCCTTTTACTCCCTTCTTCCCTCCTCCCCCGTCTCTTCTTCCCTTCCTTCCTTCCTCCTCCTCCTCTCTACAGGACAGCCGGAGAGACTGGCATTTCTCTAACAGCAGGAGGGGAATCTGCACCCAGCTTCAGCCCACGCTGGGCAAAGAGAGGGTGGGTGTGTCATGGCAGAGAGAGGTGTGTGTGTGTCTGTGCGAATGTCTGTGACTGGTTATAATGAACATGTGACCGGAACCCCACCACTAGACCTTCCAACACTTGTATGCTACCCTCAGTATGACGTCCACCTCAGAAACTCAAAGAGTGTCCCTGAATACTTCTGTCATCGCTAATGTTGGTTGGATTAAACCAGGGAGTCTGATCCCCTCCCCCCAGACAGAATTGAGACAACTACACAATTTCTAAGCAGCTTTATGGTTATGTATTCACAATGTCCATCCTTGGAAAGTGTAAGTCACACTAAATACATGCATCACGTTTGTGTTTAGATCTGACTGAGTTATGACTCAGAAGAAAGAGTGCACTTTTTGACACAAACTGTGGCAATCAGGCGCTAAGGGGTTTTAAAGTACCTTAATTGCCTCCATGAGCTGTGTTTCACAGGTGCTCCTGCAGTTTCAACTGCTAACTGTGTCGAGAAGCGGGCCAAATCAAACTGCCAAAATACAATAACTATCTTTTGTTGCTTTTAGAACATCAGCATGCACCTGTGCCTTCACCTCGGGCAGTCTTTGCCTTCAACTCCCCTGTATCCTCTGGGGGAGTGCGCCCCACAGTTTGAAAACCCCTGGAGTGAACTAACTGTTTGGCAGCAGCCTGACAGTAATGACGATAGTAAAGTATAAATCCTTATGGTGACCAATTACTCCAGTGAATTAATGCCAAAATTTGTCCAGAAGTCCCCCCAAAGCACCTGACACAAGCTGGCGTATATTGCTCATCAAGGGCTCTGCTTTCATTCGGCTCACTTCGTTTTAATTTAGTGTCTTACACTTCCTGGGACTGCTGCCAAATATGACTACCATCAACACTTGCTGGGGACAAGGACAAATGTCAAAACTTTATGTGCAAAAAACATGCCTGGTGAGAGGAATTCAAAACCCCAGAGCTGTAAAATGATAGTCAGGAGGGGAGGAGTGGGCCGGTCATGGTTCTGTCTCACTGATCTTCCATACAGTAAATGAAAAGTAACGCTACATAACAGGGTGAGTTAGAGAGGAAAAAGATGAGGTACAGCAGCAGGTGAGTCAGGGATGAGCGCCCACTGCGTCGGTGTGATGTGCCTGTTTAGCTCCAGCGAGATAAGAGAGGAAGAGGGCAAGTCACGGGTCGATCCATCCGCTCCTTTAAAGTGACAAATAACTGTACGGGAAGTGAGCGTAGATAAGCACGGGGGGGGAAGAAAGAGAGCGAGAGAGAGAGA